ACCAAGAAGAATCCAACAAAGTGAAAGTACACGAATACCATTAAGACATGCTAAATTTTTTGGATAACTATTAATTTTTAATATATGATAATTATTTATTAATGAACAACAACTTATTAAATTTCGTACAACTATAAAAATCAAAAAATAAATAAAAAAAAAAAAAGCTTAATGAATGTAAGTTTCTTTTTTTCTTACCAGAATCAATATTTCGTTGAGATTTTGGAATTAATGGTGTTACTTCATCAGATGATGTTGATTGATCACGTTCATCAATTGGATTTATTTCAGATGGTAAATGAGTTGTTGTTGTTCGACTTAATAATGGTTCAGATTTAACTAATGGATGTTCATCATCCATTTTTAAATCATGTTCATGTCCATAGATAATATGTAATCCAGTAGCAAGAAGAATAAGAAATATGATTATTGATATAAGAACACTAGATTAAGAAGAATATAAAAGATAAAAGTAAAGATTAAATTTTTTTTGTTTTGTTTTGTTTTTTATTGTTTACATAGTTAAAATAGCTGCTGTATCAAGTTGACGATGTTCAATACAATGAACATCGTCATTTGTTATATTTATTAAGTGTTTGATAAAAGGAATTCGTATGACATCTAAACATTAAAACAATAGTTTTTATCAACAATAAACTAGTGAATAGTTTTAGTATTTCAGACAGAAATATTTAAATCGATTTAAGTTTTGATCGTTGATCATGGAAATATCAAAACAAAAAATAATTAGTTCAGTGAAAATAATAATTTTCAATTCCATATGAAAATCTGACCATCAGTTCGACTAATTCTTTTTCGTTAATGTAAAATATTGACTAAGTATTAAGGTTTTATATGATTTGGATTATGTCTAGTTTTGAGTATATTTTCTACACTTATTGAATTTTGTAGATTACATAAGATTGTAAATACTATGGATTAAATTCATTGAAACCCAATAGATGTAATTCAAGTTGAATTGAGAATACGCTAAAAATTATCTCATTTAAATGAAATTGTTTTATCCAACTTTTTACACACTATGGCAATTGACGGGTGTAATGTTCCTTCTAAGATTGAGTTGACCTGCCTGAAGTTTCTAGTTGTTGTAATGTGCTATGGAAAATTTTTTTGAAAAATGTCAACTCTATTAAACCATATTGTTGACTTCTAAATCAATCAATTTTTCGCTACTAGAAAGAATAATGTGTGGACTACAAATTTTGAACTAGACATATTTTTTGTTAGAAATTACTTGACGAAAAGGAAAAGCTTACAATGTTTATCCAATTTGAAAAGCCTTTATTTCTGAATTATTTTGACCTTCATAGATCTGTTAAATTCAAATAAAAATACACCAAAAGTAGTACATCGAAACCTCTATCGATATCAGCTTTGGAACATCCTTTTAGATCGTTCCTCAATTTGTTAATCAAAACATTTTGAAAACTAAAACTTTTAAATAATGCATTCTATTCCAAGATATATCAGAAAGAATACTTGACGATAGAAGAATCAGCATTAAACGTGTTTTTTTCATATTCCTTTTTGAGAGTGTTCAGATTTTGGCTTCTCCTCCTCGTCAGGTTCTTCCTGAACAAATATATCTAACTCCCTTCCCCCGTAATAAAAGATCCAGAGCCTTCGATTATGATACGAACTATGCTATGGGTTCTAGTTAAAAAATTTTCTTCAGTTTTGAGGGTTCCCTCAGTATGTTCTAGAGATTTTCCAGGCCTCTCTAGAGTCTTCCAGGGTTTTAAGTCTTCATATACCAACAAAAAAAAAACCTGCAAATTAGGCGTTTTTAACTAAAAAAAAATATTAATATTTGATTTAATAATTTCTAAGTATTAATTAAAACAGGAGGTCTTCTATTACATCCGTCACATTACACTCTCCAGAGAATCTTCTAATATAGGAGGGTCTACTACAAAATTTGTATTTCAGACATTACTCTTGCAAATAAACAAAGTTTGATTGATTTAAAAGTCGATAATATGCTATAACAGAGGTTGACATTCTTCCAAAGACTTTTACATCGCATATTATACATGCTATGTCTGCGTTCTCAAATATAGATGTTCACTCTTTCGACATTATAAACCGTTCTTTAGGAAAATCTGTAAAAAAAATAAAAGTAGTCTTGTCTATAGTTTGAATAATGAAAAATAGTGAAAACGACTTGCTAATGTTCTTTTCTAAGACAATATTAATTAAATAAATCATTTATCTATTTGGTATTAAAACTCTTTTTTACATACATTGATTGATAAATTCGACAATATCACTTGCATTACAACTTTGAGGTACACAAATACCATAAACTGGTCGAATTATATTTGATAATCCATTGCCAATTGTACATGTACGTGTTTTAAATGGTTGTTTAATAATACTATCATTTAAACCACGTAAATAATGTTGACATTCATATACTGAACCAATCCAAAAGATATTTCCTTGCATTAATCCACTTGGTAATTTTCCCCAAGCATCGAATGCTAAAATAAATAAATAAAAAAAATTTTGATTTAAAAAATAAAAAATTTAACTAGAAATAATATTAAAATGTACTCTTTAATGCCCATGTTTGTTGATTAATTAAATCATGAAATAATAATTGAATATCTCGACTACAATTCGAGCCATTTGCATTTAATATAAGATCGACATTTATTGATGGCAATATTGGATGAAGTACGGCGTCTGTTTGAATAATATTTTCTTTAACAAATCGACCATTAGCAATAATACTTGGAATAATATTAATAAATGATAAAGACAATGGTTTAGCTTGGATTCCGATATGTATAATAAGAAGAAAATACCACAGAAATTTCATTTTGATTTAATCTACAATAAATATCATCTTATATTTATATACGCAAATGACTTGTAAACGTATGATTCATCAAATGTAACTTATTTATTTTTGAATAACAAAAAGTACAAAAAAAAACGTGATGATGTGTAACGTAATAGATTAGTTTCACGATAATATCATATCGATTTTATTTTTGAAATATAAGTTATATACATTTGTTATTGAATATATCACATTAAAATAAAAAATAAAAAAGTGAATCATTTTATAGCAAATAAAATTCGAAATCTTCGCTTTCTATATTCAAAAAGAAATTGCTTTTCAGCTAATTGTATATAAGAAAAACCTTGAGCTTTTTATGTGATTAGAAATGCAATTTTAATTAAATTTTTTAATCAAATCTTCTCATAGGTATCTTTATAGTACACTGTATATAGAATCAAATGAAATAGGATAGAAGGTCTAAGGAACTATTATAATAAGAGTTAGAAAATTTTTCTTTTGAGCTCGAATCCTATATGTTTTCATGCTTTAGTCTGATCGAGACGAAAACATTCTTAATGAGACAAATATTCTTTTCCATGATATTTTTTTTGTCTTATTATTAATGTACAGAAAGTATAGTTAGGACATTTTTTTTTAAGTATAGTCTGATGGGAAACCACAAAAAAAAGGAAGAAATATAAAAGGTTAGTTTGCCCTTGAATTAAAATAGCATTTCTATTTTCGATATTTGAAATAATACAAAAATAATAATATAAAAACTTTGAAAAATGAAATTTGTTTGTTTCAAATTAATTTAGGGGAATTTATATGTTAGATATTTTTGTTTTATTTGACAAGCGTTATCTTATATAATTTTACTTTTTCATTTGTATATTGATTACGATAATCAAGTTTTTAAATTGAGCTTTTTTACTAAATCATCGGAGAGTAAATCATACTGAAACTTGAGATTTTTTACAACTAACGGGTGACCCATAATCAATGGCCGCCTTTTCCATTTAATTTTTTCATCATTTAATAAGTTTTAAGTAAAAAGCAAAATGTACCACAAGATGCAGCATGAAAAGCTCTATAATTTACAGAAGCCCGATTATTTGATAGTTGCTCTTTTTGCTTTCAAAATGGGCAAAATTTTGAGTGCCGAAATTGCGACCGTGCGAAAATTGGTCACACAGAAGTGTGCTGTTTTTGAAAACAATTAGAATAAACTTTACTGTGTAAATTGTACAACTTTTCGTGCTACATCTAGTGGCATATTTTGTTTTTTTTTAGGAAGACATATTAGATGATAAAAAGGTGAAAGAAGAAAAAAGAAATTTCTCGTGTGTGCAGAACAAAAGGATTTTTTCGCAACGACGAAACTTGGCCTCACAGAATTTTGTTTATTTCGAAAACAAAAAGTATACAATTAAAATGAACTCTTCAATCTTCTGAAGTCTTTTGTTTGTTAATAAAACTTATTACATGATGAAAAAATAAAATGGAAAATGCGATTATTTATTATAGGTCACTCATTATATATTTTCTTTCTTTCTTTCCTTCTCTCAATACACAATGGTGCTTCTCTCTTATTTTTTTAACAAAATTTCATATGATGTAGAAAAAAATCGAAAACAGGCAACCAACAGAGTGCTACATATATTGTCTACTATTTCATTAGTTTTTATGTTTCTTCCACGCGCATATCCATCCAAACAACAACTATTACGAACAACTAGATTGGGTAATATAACCAGAAAGAGAAAATGAGAAAAATATCATAAGAGATAAAAGGATAATCTATTTATGTTTCCAGCTGTGATGTGATGATAACAGACAATTATTTATTTTAGGACAATGCTCTGAAGTTTGTTCCTGTTCATGTTGTTATAATGTTCGTCGTTATTATCGACGAATGTTTTTCTTAAATTTTTCTTCATATCAGAAGTATCTATTAATCATTCTTTTATTTTCTATATTTTTTTATTATAATTTATTATTCCAAAGAAAAAATTCTGATATAATTAATCAAAAATCGAATTCTATTCGAATATTATATGTTATTCGAACAAGTTCACATTTTTATCAAAAACGTTTAATTTATCTTCTTCAAACATGGATATCATTAGTAAATGATGATACTTTTTTTGTTACGGATATATTTCTACCAAATATATCTAAAAAACATATGATTTCAACGAAGAAAACATGCGGACCTGATACTCATTCAATGAATATTTTATGTTGTAAAACAGCACATGACTTTATTATTTTTCATCGTTATTTATTAGAGTATGAGTGGTTTTGTCATTTTGATGATGATCAATATGTAAATGTTAATAATCTTAAAAAATATTTGTCTACACTCAATCCTAATCAACCTTATTATATTGGACGTGCCTCATGGTCTGATACTGTAAAACGATCAAAAGAACCATATCCATATTCATTTTGGTTTGCTACATTAGGTGCTGGTGTGTGTCTATCAAAACGTACAATTATTCTTCTTGAATCTTATACAAAGAGTGTATCAGAATTTATTGATGGTTGTATAAATGAAAATTATCATGATGATATCTATTTAGGTTTTATCTTAAATGCATATTTAAATATAACATTAACAAAAAATAATCATTTTCATTCTCATCTTGAAAAATTCTTTTATCAGAATAAACAAACATTCCTTCATACATTTACAAATGAAATAACATTTGGTTTTAGAACACCTGATCGATATCCTTATTATCTTCCTCAATTGTATAAAACTCATTTAGATCCATATCGTATACGAACACTTCATTGTCTTCTTTATATAACACAATTTAAAGAATGTGAAACAAAAATTCATCAACATATTTTTAATTCTACTAAATAGATCAACAATACAATATTTAGTTTTTACTAGCCGTCGATGCTTTAGTAGGTGTTGAAGTAACGACAGGAACAACTTTAGGTGGAGCTGGTGGTGGTGTTGGTTTTGGTTTATATGTTGAAACAGGTTTTGTAACAGGTGATGGTGTTGTTGATGTTTTAATTGCACCTGTATGAACGGTTTCATTAAAAATATTCATTTTTTCATTAAAATATGTTCGAAACCAATTGATATGTTCAATTTTTTGTTCAACTGTCCAATAAGGATTTCGACCAAGACCAACACAAACAAGTTCCATAAATTGACGAATCAATGGTGAATTTGGAAAATCATTTAAATGACGTTCTAATAAAACATGTTCATAAAATGGAACATCTGCTTCAGGACCAATATCTAACAAAAACCAAGAAAAAAAAAACATGTCATAAAATTCTTTTTTTTACAAATAAAGAAAAATAAAACAAACCTTGTTCATTATTAATAGGAAATTTCCAAAGAATACCATCATTCGTCCATTGAATCATTTCTTCAAAAGCATTTCTTGGTGGTATTGATGATATTCGTGTCAATTCATCTTGTTCATATTTTTCCCATATTGGAGTTGTTTTTGAAGATATTTCTATGAACAAAAAAAAAATTTTTTCATTGTTGTTTTATAAATATTTGATTTTTCTTTTTTATTATAAAAAAAACAAACCATTAACATCTTTTGTAGTAAAAATTCCTAATGGTTCACCACTCCATAATTGATGTGGTCTTTAATAAAAATAAATAAATAAATAAATAAAATTTTTGATAAAGTTTTTGTTACCTGAGAAATTCTTGCCGACGTTTATTATCACGAATTGATTTTCGTGTGTCACTGCTATCACGCTTTTGTTCACGTTGATCACTAAAACGTGGTCTTGCCATAGCTTCATCTAAATAAAAAAAAATCGAATTGAATCTTTAATTTTGAACATTTACAGTGGCTGATACAAGTTTAGAGCAGTTTTATTTTTGAATTTTCTTCTCTATGGTAATAGCTACATAAAATCTAAAAAAAACATTTGAATAGCTAAAATAATTCTCTGACATCTATGCAAAGCTTTTTTGAAAATAGTTCTATTTGATAGAGTGAAATGAAATATCTCGACTCTCGTCATCGAACTGCATTCAATTTGTAGAAGACCTCAAAGCGTCAAATGCAGTGAAATAATTGAAATTTTTTATCAAAATAAACTAAAAATGGTTCTTAGGTCTTCTGTTCGATGAACACAGCCCGACCGAATCTAGGATCAATTCGATGCACTCTAAATTCGAGACACCTTTTTTTTTGCCCTATCCAATAAAATCCTTTTAACTATTCAAATATTTATTCAGATTCTTACTAGCTTATATCATTGAGGAGAGAATTCAGAAAATAAAACTTATTCCTATAGATACCATCTTGAATAAAATCATCTTCAAGTGTTGATTTTGATGTAGTACGAGTTGGTTTCAATTGAAAATCACGTAATAATGATCTATGAGAGAGAGAATATTGTCAATATTAAACTTTGAAAAAAAAAGTTGAACTTACGAAAAAGCTTCGGTTGTTTTTTCAACATTAACATTCGATGCTGGACGAGTTTGTCTTTTTTTTGGTGTTCTTTCATATTCATCATGTTGTTTTAAATCAGAATATTCTTCACGATGTTCAGGTTTATTTTCTATTCGTCTTGCAGTTTTACTAACGATTCGATGACCACGTAAAGCATCAAGTAATTCTTGTTCTATATTACTACTTTCATTTGGTGAATTAGTTGGTGTTAAAGAATCAGCAACTTGACGTGTTATAGTTTTTACTTCACTTGATTCAGTATCAAGAATAACGGGTGGACGAACTTTTCTATTCAATGCAAAAAAAAACAAATAATTTCATTGTAACTATTAAGAAACATAAGAAAATAGTTAAAAAAAAGAGTACGATAAAAGTGTTCGAACGATTGATTTTGAGGATATGTTAAGAGCAATTGAGTTTCTAAAGAGTTTGAATAGAAAAAAAAACAAAATCTAATTGACATATTTAAATTAAAGTCACAGTTATTCTTGATTTTCTTTAACCTTGACACAACCATCTGGAGTCCGTGTGGGGATCCCAGGCAATTTCATCATATTGTTATAAGTACGCAATATTAGATGACACCGTTTATTTTCCAGTTACGCCCAATTATTATTTATATGAGTAGACTATTCTGAAGTATATATGAATCTTTGTTGAATATCTGAGGCTCGCCTTTACTTCAGTGAGATTTATTGTTATATTATACATTCATAATATTTAATCGATCCATATCCTTTAAAGTATGCGTTAGGGATACTTAGTATAATACATTGATAAAATCAGTCAATTATACGCAATTATTATTTTTAAGCAGAGCAATTCACAGTATATGTAAATACTGAGTAAGCGACACATGATTGCATACGCTGCGCATACAGAAAATGATAAGATCAAGGAAACAGACTAGATAAATATCGTTCAAACTAACTGTTGTTCTTCTTCTAATAAAATCTTCTCTCGAGCCCTCATATGTCCATAATGAACTAGCAAACACTTTGTATGTTATATTTATTTTATTAATTTATAATTCGCACGAACTCCACGTGGATACCAAATGTTAGTCCTACAGGTGGTCGTGGTACGATTAAACTGAATCTGCTCAGACATATTCACGGAATTTTTGTTGTAGAGAGAATCAAATTTTTCTCATCTAGTTTTGATCAGACAGGAATTACTTATACTCTTCTTTATTCATATTTGATAATTATTCGGTACACGAAAAAACAAAAAAAAAAAGAAAATTTATAATTATATCAATTATTTTTGATAAATGTTTCATGAAAAAAAAATACTTGTGATTATATGCATCATACGTATAGTTGACATTAATTATAACAAACAAATTATCAGTATCATCATATAGCTTTCATTGATTATTTAACATAAATGTCAGTACTAACACAAACATTGTAAACTGAACTTGGAAGAGGAGAATCAGCCCTTCACAGTGTGAATTTTTCGCATGGCAGACAAATATGTGACTTCCTTATTCGGAAATGATTGACTATGATACAGAAAAGCATTTTTAAGAAACAAGAGTTTCTCTACGAGAAAGAAATGTTTCGGGGAAGGATCTTGTCTTGATTTTTTCGAGAAATTTGTTTTCTTCAATGTTGTTTCCTGTTCTATATCAATTGATGTAATTTAATACACTAATTCCGAATATACTATTTTTATCGGTTAACTATTTGTCCAAAACCAGAAAAACTGAAAAAACCTAGATTTTTTTCGGAACTCACTGTGAAATCCAGGAATGTTTGTGCTAAGCGAGATTAGAGATAACCGATAGAAGAACATTCTGGTAAAATTTGGAAAAGTTTGAAGGTTGGGTGGCTCATTTTACGAGACTAACTTTTTGGACGACAACGTAGAAAAAATTATTATTCTTCTCTCGTAAGTTGAATCTAGAAATTAAAAAAATATTTTTTACTATTGTATAAAGCTTCACTTAGAGATTAAGAAAATATGCTCGTTTCGGGTGCCAAACAGTTAAATTTTGTCAGATATGTGTATTCCCGGTGACAGCATTATGTTTAGGCAATCGATTGTTCAGTTTCTTGTAAGATCATAACAAAGTTATTTATACTATTAGATCGGCTATATTTCGAATTATGTTTGTTTATATTTAAATCTTGAAAAAGAATGGTTTTCATCTTTAATCCAATGTCCACCTAAATGCGCACTGCAACTTCCCTTTTTTTGTGAACATCTTTGAATTTGATCGAAAGGATCTCAGTCACTTCCACAATTTATCTTGTCTAAATTAATTCTTGATCAAAATTGAATAAAAACTCCTAGAGAAATAACAGCTATCTTAAAAAGAATAAGATCTCTTCTCATAGACAACTTTAGTCCTTATATCCAACATCTACTAGATGCTACGAAAATTTCCGTTCCACAATTGGATTTAACCAATGCAGACAACAGATATTACTTATGATAAAATTAAGATTTAGAGTTCCTAAAATATCTATAATATTTTTATTTCAAATCAATTTTTCCAATTATGTATCCTCTTGAAAAAATAATTGAAAATAAAGCATGTACCAAATATTTCTTGTAAGAAATGGTTGTTATATTTTAATTATTATACTCTTGACTCAACAAGACTATAATTATTATGTTAATAAAAGCGTCTTGCTGAAATTTATTTTTTTTTTCCGAAAAATCGGATATATTAATTACAACGACTTACATTTCTTTCTGTCCACTTTGTTCTCCTTCACGTTTTGGTTTTCTATCTCTTGACTCAAATGATTTAGCAGATTTAATTCTATCATTTGATGATGATCGATCACGTTCATTAACAAATTTTTTTTGTCGATTTAAATTTTTCACATTTAAACTTCGAAGAAGATCTTCAGTTTGATGATCATCATCTTTTGATAATAATGTTTCATCTTTAAAAATCAAAAGAATTGATTAGATTAGAATAACAAAAAAAAAAAAAAAACTTAGAATAAAAAATATTTACTAGTTATCGTTCGTGTTTTTTCAATTCTATCATCATTTATTGATTGTTTTCTATTTTTAATTATATTTCGAGAAGTATTAGAATTTTTTCGTTCAAAATTTAAAAGTTCTTCATTTAAACGAGATGATTTTTGTTTTGATTCATCATCTGTTGATTGTTTCGATTTAAATCGATATTGATATGATGTTAAAGGATATATATATTGATAAAGAGTTGATACTCGTCGTAATGTTAACATAGATATTCTAAAAACCAGAATAAGAATAATAAATTTATTCGTTTTTATTTATTTTATTCTGTTTGAACAAAAATATAAGGTTTGAGAAAGAAAAGGACAACAAACAGACAACATGCAAGCATAATATAAACAAAAACACAAAACAAAACATTTTCAATACAAAAAAAAAAAGAAGAACAGAAAAAAAAGATCAAAACTAACTGCTT